CATCATCAGGTACCTGATAATGACAAAACCTTGTCGAAACGTTGTACATTTGCTGTTATATTAAAGTTTTTCTTCATTACCCATTCAAGCCGTCTTAAGAAGACTAGTTATTAGTTGACTTTCCATTAACCAAAAGCAGATAAAAAATGACAAAACAAAGAGGAAAATAAAAACTACAACTCAAATGTTAGACAAAAAAATTAAATATAAAAGTTAAAAAAGCATTTGAGCCATAAAAACTTAATACATTTACATGGAAAATAGTTTACACAGTTTTTTTCAGACACGGCATAGTGGCTCATAGAATGGCTCCAAGTTTTTCAAGTACAACCTTTTAGTTCATAGCTCTGTGATTTCTTGATGGATTTGAGATCTAATTACAGTTCTGGACTCAGGAAGTCAAACCCTTCCAACTGATGTATTTGACTATGCTCAAGGTCTCATAAATTAATTTACTCTAGTCCCGTCTGCTGGTAGAGATCCTGACAAGTAATAAAATCGAATCGGGTATAGGGATGCCCCACACTGGGTATTACTGGCACACAAAAGTTTGTTAATAAAAAAGAAAAAAAAAACGGGGGGGGGGGAAGAGTCTTGTAGATTAATTTATTCTAATTCTGCCTAAGAATATCAAGTGACACAGCTATTGAGGATTCCCTCTTGTTTATAAAGGTTTATTATTATTATTATTATATATACCAAGTAAGTTATCATACACCAGCATATACTAATTAACACAAAATACATACATGTGTACTACATTTTAAACACTAAACTACTGAGTTGTTGACATATTCAAAGAGTATTTTAATGTATTGTAAAAAACTGGAAACAACTGTTTATAGAGGAGCTTAAAAGAAATACAACAATACTGTTTACAAAGTACATGGTTACACCAGTTCTTCATGAAACTGTAAATACAGGATTTTTAAAGCTTCCTCACAATTTAAAGTCATCACATGGTTAGAACCTTTCCTGTAGTTAAATGTTCTATTTGATAACCCAAGTACTACCTTTCAAAAAACAGTAGTGATACTGGGTTTCTTGCAATAAGAATGTTTCCTGTAGTTAAATGTTTTATTTGATAACCCTAGTACTACCTTTCAAAAACAGTAATGATACTGGTTTCTTGCAAATAGAACGTTTCCTGTAGTTAAATGTTCTTTTTGATAACCCAAGTACTACCTTTCAAAAACAGTAGTGATACTGGGTTTCTTGTGATAAGAACGTTTCCTGTAGTTAAATGTTTTTTTTGATAACCCAAGTACTACCTTTCAAAAACAGTAATGATACTGGGTTTCTTATGATTAGAACATTTCCTGTAGTTAAATGTTCTATTTGATAACCCAAGTACTACCTTTCAAAAACAGTAATGATACTGGGTTTCATGCATGCAGATTTTAAGATGAAAAAGTGGGGAGGATTCACAATTTTATCCAGACTTTTCTAGGTTTTGGGATAATTTTTTAATAAGATTAAAACTATGTGACTTTGGACACTGTATACAATTTTTATAATGTTAAACTACTACTAGGCTTTAATGCTATTATTTGTTTTCAAGATTACTGTGTATCTTTCACATTACATAAAAGATCACAGACCGGAAGAAACAGCTTTAGCTTAAATATGATTGTATTGTTATTTCATGATGCCAACCACTGTTTCTTTATCTTTCCATTACGATTAGTCTATAAAAAAGCTATTTATCTCGCTAATCTCAAAACTTTAACAGGTACTTTCTGAATGTTTATCAGCCAATGCTAAGATAAATTATGGGATCAACAGGCTAAATGAAAGAATTGTGTTTGTTTATTATTCTACTTGTCATCTCTAATTAAATCTGTGTAGAAAGTAAATGTATGTCAGTTACCAATATACCTAACACTACTTTCAAGTAATAGGTTCTTTAATAAACAGTACACTACAATATTATCTTATGAAATTTCGTGGTGGATGCATAATTTCAGGTTTTTCACACCCGTACACGTGAACACACAACACTCTGATACTTTAACCCATAACTTTACATTATAATCTGGTCATAAAGGGTGGAAAACATATTTACTTTAGATTATGGTACTAGATAAAATATCAAGACAAGGATACTGCAACAGATAGAATGCAGTATTTGTAATTATGAAATAATATTTGATCTAAGCTATCATCAGAGATAATGAATTACATAATTATCACTAGATAAAATAGAATGATTGAATAACATTATATTCAAATATATAAATCAAATACCACACATCAGTGCAGGGTTCACAGAGGCCTAAATGTACCAATGAAGCTCCTCCATTGTTGACACTTACTTCTATAGTTAACCTGAGAAAAACATTGTTAGGAGACCCTCACCTGATACCCAAACAAGTATGACGATTGGTCCTGCTAACTTGTGAGTGGAGATATGGCCACAGTTTCAAACATGGTACCCCCAGAATGCCAACTGGGGCCATGAATGCAAAACCTGATGACAGATATGGGTTCAGCAACCACGAAAACCTACTCTTAGTCCCCATTGGTAGGAGGGCTATGTCATATAAATAAGGACATTGCAAGTCTACTTGGTACAGTTTGGTCCTCCTAGCTCCAAAACTATAGGAGGTGTCTGTGGACAAACAAGCAACTTCACAAACACACATGAATTAACGCAGGACAAGTAAAATATTTTTAACGCCTTCCTTTTTTATACAGTAATAGCTAATTCTCATCAAAAGATAAATTGGGACTTACAATGAATCAATGTGTTGTGGTTTAAAACAAAACTTACAAGTGTAGCTGAAAGAAAATGAAAAAATTCACATAATTGTTTACAAAATTTTAATAACTATAAATCTCACCTTAAAACAGCAATAGCTTCTTCTACCGATCTTGCTTCTTCTCCTTCTGTAGGAAGTCTGTTTATATTTTCTTCTAATGGTGATTCATTGGGTGTTATATTTTTCTTTGCGTTTTTCTTTTCTACAAAAATATCAAATATGCTATACAAATGTAAAATATTTAGTCACAATAGATGACAAAATATTTTACTTTTTTTTTTACTTTTTATCAATATATTAATGCCAACGAATTATATATCAAATTACATAATGTTTAATTTCTTCTATTTTAAGTTTCAATGATCTAAACTGCAGATTTTTATCTTAAAATGTCGCTACTGATGGTGGTATTACAATCTTAAGCTTTTGTATGCTTGATATCTACCTATGTATACAGATTTAAAATTAACTATATACATATTAAAATTACATCCCATAATCCATGCTACAACAATTTAAATATCAGAAAATACTTTACTACTAAAAGAACTCATCTAAATTAGTGTTTGACCATGAAAATGCAAAGTTAATGGGGTTGGCTGTACTGAGTTCCTCTTGCACAAAATAGTGAAGTTTTCATGATGACATACCACAATTCGTTAAATAAAAAGTTCTTATTAACATTAGATCTTGATTGTTCTAAAACAGAGATAAAAACCATTGAGTGGTTTATATTCTCTCATGCACCATGCCAGTGATGCTGCCCTGGTGCTAATGTTGCTATCTCGTACTTTAAATACCACATTATCTGTTGCAATCAACTTGTCAAGTATATGTCTGTAATTCTGAACAGAAACTGTCACAATGATGACTGGATATGCCTTACTCATCCATCTCTATCTACAGAACCAAAAACTGCAAAGAAATGGCTTTATAGAGCTGAGAAACCAGATTTTGTATTGTGCAACATGTGTGGCCACTAAAGTGTTTTGTGTGAGATTTTGGATGGGGAAGACAGATTTTGCTTCCTCTGAGTCTGAAAATTAGTGGAAAATGCAGATTCCAGATATCACAAGTAGTCCAAATCTCTATTCAGAATTAACAATAAGAGAAAGTAACAATAGGCTTTGTTTGTAAATGAACCAACCACAAATGTCTCCTTGACCTGCAAATTCAATGTTCAAAATAAAACACACACAGGAAGTGTGAGAGGAGGTAAGTATTATCTGAAATATATTTTTGGTATACGAAAATGTAAACTTCTGAAACACACTTACCTCTACTCACATTTTAGCTAGAATCCCACATTGACCAGGCAGAGTGGCCAATGAGGGCAAAATTCACACAGAAACCATCTGCATAGAAAAACAGATGTGTAAAATTGAGATATAATAAAGCACACTAGTGAGGGTCTGCACTACTTCTGGAACAGTTATGCTCTTTGGCCAGATAAAGTGAAATATAAATGTGGGCATTAAAGGCCAACTGGCTATAGAGTCATCACTATTCATTATCACGAGATTTGTCTGGGCCCCAACAACACAGACAAAGTTCCACATCTCATTGTTGGAATTTATAGGGCTGTGGATGCAAAGCTAGATTCAAGATGTAGTGGCTAGGGCATGGGGGTTGCAATACGATATAATTTATAATAGGAATATGTTGTATTTGGAACCCAACGTGAAAGTTACAGGATGTTGCATGTCAAGCTCCAAGAATTACGAAGAGAAGGCAAGCAGCACCTAAATGGACAAACCCTCACTCCATCCTGAAGGAGCACAAAATGCAACAAATCAAACTCGGAATTGCGGGCCCAAGCAACCAACCTGAAAGTTACAGGATGTCACATGCGAGCCACCAGAATTATGAAGGGAAGGAAAGCAACATCCAACTGGACAAGTCTTTCCCCAATCTGAAGAAGCTCAAAATGCAACAGACCGAACTCAGAAGTATGGAGTCAATTTATGCCTCATTCAACCTGAAGAAACAGAGATCAATTGGCCTGGGATTACAAACTGAAATCCTAACTCCTCAACCTGGGGGGCAAGGTAAAACCTCCTGCCCCCAGAATTAAGAGAAGTATGTGGAACAAACAAAGTTCAACCAATGGCTCACGAATGTGATACTCTGCATGAGGAATTATGAGGAGTCAATGGCCCTCTTCCATGATCATGGAAAGTAAGAGAATGATCAAAAAGAAGGGCCACACTCACACAACCAGATACTGAAGTGTCATTTCTGAACCAGAATTATGAGGAGGCATCCTTGTAGGCTGGACCAACTCCCTACCTGACATCTGGGAAAATCACCTAGATGTAATGGTGGGAGGACATCCAGCTTTGCCCTCTTCTCCTTGAGTGGAATAAAGAGTACAAACATCACTCAGGAGAAATAGACCTCTGTCTACCACTCCAGCAACTGGGAACTGAGAGTGTTAAGGACTCCCTAGCTCCACAAGAAGAGATGGGCTTCACTTTGGGGAGTCCAGAGGAATGGCTCTTCAGAGATAGTGCAATAGGTGAACCATATTCCCTATTTTGAAAAGCAAACCAACCCCAATTTATTCAATTCAGGGGTTATCGGGGATGGGCAAAGTATCTTTATGATAATCCACGAGTAGCAGTCCAATATTGTATATTATATTTGATACAGAACAATTGGTCACCACCCAGAAAGCACCAAGGCAGTCAGACTGCTAAATCCTGTTAATATTGAGATATAAAGGTATTAGGTGTGGTCCACATACCAGCCTGTACAATTTTCTCCAGCAGGCAATGCAACTGAGTTGTCAGGGGCATTGATATACATTGTACTTGATTAGATGAAACCCCAAGTCTCTGCTCCTCCAATGAAAGGCCAGAGTAAGCTATCTGAAACAAGTGATAAACCCAACATATCAAAGTGACATGGGATAAGTTACATGATAAATACCAATGGATAAATACCAGCGATATGAGCCCCGAAATGCTTCAGCGCATGCCACAGAACATTGGAGAGCCCAAACAGGGCATAATAAACAATCTAGGTTTGATTGGTCTCATAAATGGATGGAAGATGAATAGGAGAGAAAGCCTTACCTAGCTGCTGCATATTTAGGTAGAAAGGACCTGTCTGGATACAACAGAACATAGCTGGAATGGTACAGTGTTCTGTGAAGATGAAGCACAAACACATCTGAACATCAATGCCCTCTAGCCAACAACAGAAGAAAATATGTTGTAAGTGAACAATGAAATAGGGAACATGACACCAAAGGTTCAAAAGGTGGACTTGTTAATGCATGGAAAGCCACTGTGATATCCTAATTAGGAACCTGGAAAGGGCAATGAGGACAGATAACCCAAAATGATGTCAAAAGTAATGACAAAACCATGGACTCTAAACCTATCTTCTCTTAGAAGAATGAAAAGTAGCTGATAAGGCAGCCTTATACAAGGCAACAGACAAAGGTGCCAAGCCTTTGTTGAACAACCATGTCAAAAATTAAGAGACATGTGGTGAAGTGAGACAATTGATGATAAGTAAAAAATCATTTCCTTTGATAAATTTCCAAAAAAATATGTAGAATGGAACGTGTTAATAAAAATGCCACATGAGATGTCAATCCTTGATGTTGTGAGATGGCCGTATAAAAGTCAGGTGTGAAGTCAAAGAAGGCCGAATGCTAGATGAGAAAAAAATGTCTGATTGAGATGGTATAAGAGAGATCTCCAGAGAGGAAGGGCAAGAGGTTAACACTCCTGAAGATACTGGAGGAGTGGAAGCCAGGGCTGACCCAGCCAATATTTGCCACCGTAAGAGCTTGACAGGACCTGGAACGAATCAGTACCAGAATGTCAGAGAGCAGACAAACTGGAGGGAATGCAGAAAGATGAAGACCCGTCCAATTCTGGCTGAAAGCATCTACTCCCAAATCAGAGGGAGAAGTACTGGGGATCAGAAGAATGGGAGCTGAGCAGTCCAGTGTGTGTGGCAAAAGCATCAATCTGTAGTGACCCTAGACAAGAGCTGATTCAACACAAAACTTGAGGATGAAGCACCCATTCTATAGGAAGAGCTCTGTTGGGATGAGATAACTGATTGGCCACTAGACTCATAACCCCAGGAACATGACAAGCAAGGAGAATGATTTGTTGTTTGTGTGCTCAAAAGAGAAGATCCACTATTTGAAAACAAAGATCTGGAGTGAATACCTCCTTGCTTTCAAGTGTATGAAACTACTGTGGAATTGTCTGAATGAAGCATTACCATCTTTCCTTGCAACAATTTGAGACCCTGAAACATAGATTGTTGAACTGCAAAAACTTCTAAGAGATTGAAGTGGAGAGAAGCTTCCTCTATTGTCCAAAATTCCTGGAATTCCATATTTTCTATACAAGTACCTCAGCCCTGAAGACAAGCATCTGAGAACATATGTATCTCTAGCCATGGAGATGGTAGAGGGACACCTATTGTTGTGTTGTCACTGTTCAACCACCAGCTGAGATCCAGCAAACTGGAATTCGACAGTCTCACTGGACAATCCAGTGCACCTGTGCAAATGTTCCACTGGTTCTGTAACGACCATTGAAGAGCCCTCATGTGGGCCCGACCTAAAGGAATTAGTGATTCCAAGGATGCCCACATCCCCAAAAGACATAGAACTGTGCATGTTGGTGGAGAAGGAGACAGCTAGATTTGAAGAATCACCCATTTCATGGCCTAAAGACATAGAGGTGAAGGTTGGACTCGGCTTAGTCTGGAATTTAAAAAACACCCCTAAATGGATGAAGAACTGTGCGGGAGCAAGAACAGACTTCTCCTTTATGATAAGAAACCCAGCTCTCGAAGCTTCTGATAACAAACTTTGAGTGTGCAGTTCTGCCAAATGGCAAGAATGGGGCAAGTACAAGCCAGTTGTCCATGGAATGGTAAGTGTGAATGTCAGGGGAATGGAGATGATGTGAAAAAAATCTGACTATCTGGCAAAAAAACATATTGAACAGATGAGAGGCTGAATGAGAGAGCATGAAACTGAAAAAGCTGGTTATTGTACACTGAAAGGAGATAACACCCTGAAGACTTGGTGATTGGGATATGAAGGTAGGCATCTGTAATGTTGATATTTGTCATCCATGATCTGGGTGAAAAGAGTCATAAAAGGGGAAGAAATGAAAAAAAAATGAAAGAAAAAACCAAAAACTATTCTTTGCCCTGGAGGAAGATCCCCACTGGTAAGGTCAAAATTGCCCTTGTGTCCCAATGGATTGTAGAGCCAAAGCTGGAGGTTTGGAAACTTGAACTAAAGATGTAGTAAATCATCCTGTAGAAGAATGTTGGGACAGATGAAAAGTCAGTGTAGAAAGTAGATGGGCGACATCTACTTGAGATGCAAAAATAGACTGAGAAAATGAGCTTCTCTGAGATCTCTAAGGGACAACGTAGGAAGGCACACTCTTTCCAGTAAGGTATCTCTCTCCAAAAGATCCAGAATAAACCAATCAAGATACTAAGTAGATAGCAGAAGCTGATAACCTGATCAAAGTGGAAGTCAATAGATGACTTAGATCCTCCGATTTGTGAGCAGGGGATCTATGACAGGCCTCAGACAACAGCTGCAAAAATGCAAGAGACAGACAAATTCTGGAAAACTGAGATTGATTAAGATGAACAGTGGCATCCTGTCCCAAAGAGGAAGTAGAGGGTCTAACCTCTGAGAGTCCATATAAGAGTTCTCCAGGCAATGGAAAGCCAAGACATGCTGATACAATAAACAAAAAGGACAAGACATGACAGCACCCTCTCTCAAATGATCTGCAAATCTCCTTGGACAAACAGCAATGCTGTCGAAGGTGGAAGGACTGGGTAATCGGATGAACTAGTTTCTCCCAATAAGGAAGGTGATAGAAAAATAGAGTCTAAGTTCTCATCAGTCCACCCTTCATCTCCCACAGACTCAGTCTCTAAGCTAACAGAGGAAAAAGCATCAGACCTCACATAAGGTTATGCATATAAGGAACTGCACGTCCTCCATCGAATACAAGTTCTTTTATTTATGTCAATTGTCTGAATATGATAAACTTAACAATATTCAATAAATAAGGATCTGAGTCACCAGAATATTTTGCTGTTGATACCATATTCTCTAAACCAAATAAGGCTTACCTGAAGTCTTGTCATAGAAAAACATTTCTATAACTTTCAAACAATTATAACTGAAAATGAAAACATTTTCAGGAGTGAAAAGCATGTCTAAAGAAACTATAAAAAAAATTCCCAGATCTATTTCTTGTTCCTGTGTCATCTAAACTTCCCACTAAATTTCATTCTTCTGTTCTGAAGGAGCTACATCTGATCAATTTTTCATTGAACCACAAATTATTTGTCACATCATTTTATTCACTTTACACTAATGTAAATAGTTTATAATCTCCAATATCTAATATTGCCTATAGTTGTTTTCAAAGTTGTTCTTCATTAGAAGTTGTCCCACCCTTTTATGACCTCACAGTATGTGATGTGAACAGAGCTTTTAATAATGAAACTTCAGACAGAGAAGGAGATCATGAGAGGAACAAGACTTGATAAATTGCATTCTAAAGGACATTTTTTTAGCTAATAAAAATTATGTTTTGGGATGGGCAGAAAAATAGAAAATAAATTAATAAGTTCATTGTTTACAGGAATGACTCATTGAGGTTCTGCAACATCGTAAGATGAACTTTTTAAAAAAAATATTCTTCATAAATTACACTACATAAGTGTTACCAAATTACATACTATTAAGTCTAAAATATGTCCGAGTAAAGAAATTGTTGAAACAGAGTTAGAATTGTTATTCTCTATTCTCAAAGGTGTGCACCCAACACCTAACGGGTGCTCACCATTCGTGATTGTTAATTGTATATTCTGCAACAAAAGCCCAACTGTTACCTGTTTCTTGTTCCAAAACCTTAGAAATATCAGCTCGAGTAACTTTTGGGAGTTGATATTTGTTTTCTGACTTGAGATTTTCCATTTCTTCTTGAAGAGCTACTTTGTTTGCAGTTTTTCTTTCAGATTGTTCTTGTTTTTTCTTTTCTTTTTCTTCCTGAAATGATATGCACATTAACTGCCCAATAATAACATGACAAAGGATGAAATTCTGGCAAGAAAATAATATTTTAAAGAATACGTGTCATTTCTCAGTCAACTTTTATCCATGATAATGATTACGTACCATCAGTATCACTATTAAACTGCTTGATGAGGATATGAGGTTAATCAGTAATTACTACAGGGAGTTCTAAAGGTTGGCTTTCAGGTGAATATCTTCTCTTTTCTTGGCTTATAAGTGAGATTATTGTTAAGATGCAGTGGAACACTGCTTTAACACACCCTGCTATACTGTGCATTTGGTTACAATGTGATTACAGCTCGGCTCCCATTTTTTGGTCCACGAGTTTATGTAACTACTACTTGTTGTTGTCTTCAAAGACCATTTATATATAATTTTTTTTTTCCATCTAGACTAACCAAAAACACAAATCACATATTAAAAAACACAGTCCTTTATTATTTTCAATAAAGATATTTTAATCACTTCATAGAACTAACTTACACATAAACACACTTAAACTGACTAATGTCACAAGACTCTAAGCTAACATAACAGGCATTAAAGTTTTTTCAGATGAGCATTGCTATTGGTTTATGTTAAACATAAAGATATGGGTCTACAAATGAATATAAGTGAACAGTAAATTTCATATTACGCTTTTTTTCAACTTTTTTTGTTTTAATTGGTATTTTTTGTGCTGCATCTACAATATTGATTGGCTTGGGAATAAATGTTATACAAAGAGTCTATGAAGTTACTTACACTAAAGGTTTGGACTTTTATAGCAATAATTAGAGGTTTTAAAGCCTAGTATGCAGTGTGAATATCAAGAAAAAGTAAAAATAAGAAAGTGGACAGGATAATAGGTGGGTAGGTGAGAAGAGGATGGGATGGGGAGGAAAGTTTCAGATATAATGTGATTCTAATTTTGTTGTACCCCAACTATTGTGTTATAGTGAGGTTCCACCAAATGTCTAACATCAGAAGAACATTAATGTAAATTTCTTGAATGAACTATTATTACATATAGCATCAAATTTCTTGAAAGTATATAACAGTAGTTTTTAATATGAAATAGTCCAAAAGTCCTTATTATGAAAATTTAAAATAAACCTCTGACTAAAATGTAGTCATTTATAACATCCTGACCTTTCTTTTTTGTTTTCTGACAACATATTTATCATTATCTTCCCATAATGCATCTTCTGCTGCCTTTTCTTTTTTCTCCTTTTCTGCCCTCTTTGCTTCTTCCTTTCGTGCTCTAGCTTCCACAGCCTTGGTATTGGTACCCATCTTTTTAGGCATGATGTAAAATTCTCAAATGATCAAACCTGTTGATATATAAATTCCATTGCAATACCATAAAATTTATTAAATATATTCGTGTACTATTAATACGGACGTAAGGCTACAGTTCTCAATGTTTTCACACGTTCGTATACAGTATATCAACCTAAATGATGAATAAAAACAAAGTTTTGACAAAGGTGTTTAAACTAGAAAGGAAGAGAAATTTAAATCTTAAATTGTACTTTGGATTCTAACTACACAAATGAAAAAAGCAAAACTAAAAATAAATTTGTATTGAAAAGAAAAAAAAGTGACACATTCTATATGTCCACTCAAGCTACTTCCGGTAGAAAGATTTCTTTTGAATGACAAGACCACTTGCTTTTTCAGTAACATTCCTCAGAAAAAATAAAATAAAAATGCAACACTAAGAGGAACTGGCCATTTTATAGGTAACATATAAGCCACAATTATAAGCCAGGTATGTAAGTGACAATGTTCTTATCATATTAGTTTTGTATATCTACATAAGACAATGGGATTAGCAAAGAATAACATAATGTTTAATTTCAGAACTTCGTGCATGATGATCAGATACATTATTATAACTTACTCCAAAAATTGGCTGCAAATAATGCAACAAGTTTAATTTAGAGGAAAGAGGATGTGTTCACACTGGATTTAATCTTCTAGAAACATTCTAATAATAATAACAGATGACAAACAAAATGAAGAATAAACTTACTGTTACTCACAACAGCTATAATTATCTGATTACTACGTGCATTTAACTACAGTGTACGGTAATATAAATCTTATAATAAACTACTGTACAGATTTCACAGTAAAGTACTTACATTAATACTTGCAAAAGGAATAAAAGGAGAAAGACTGAAGGACAAAATATTTCATTACACGGTAAATACTACTGGAGAGTGTAGGCCAATTAATATTTGATCTGTAAATACAAGTGTAAAAGAATAATAATTTAGATGGGTAACTGGAAAAATATGCCGAAGAAAACAATGGTGGGTGAAGTAATATAGATCAACATGTAGAATCACAACTATACTAACAGAAAGGCAGGAAACTAACACAACAAAAAATTATAATACCACTGTATTGCAAAAGTACACGAAGTATTTCTTTTCATACTAAATTTTCTGAGCATTAATATTATATTAGGCTTTCACAGTAAATGGATTAACATATGAGAAATGACTTTTAATACTAAGAAGCATAAAGTTATGCTCTTTCTTAGGGTAGGGGAATTTAGAAAATGTTGTACAAAATTGGTGTTGTAGAAAAATGAAAGGATTTAAAAGTTGTCATTGCTGATAAAGCCATAAATTCTTGTGATGAACGTTTGGCTGTAGTAAATATTTAAAAACAAGGTTATCATAATCTTGCAAAAAAAAACTTTTGAGCTCATCTGGAGTAATTTTGGTCCTCTTATTACAGGAACGATATTGATATATTGGAGTAAGTGCTAAGATGCATTACTGTACTAGAATGATTCTTGGTTTAAGCCATTTAGTTATGAGAAAAGGCTTAAGGTTTTGGACTTGAGTTTCTCCGTAATTTGGAAGAATAAGGAGAAAATTAAATCAGTTGCTTAAAATTGTTACAGAATACATAGACTTCTAAAGATTTTTTTATGACTGGTGGAGTGAAAAAGTTAAAAATATGAACTTCAATATTAGGTTTAAGCTTTTGTTTGACTGATGATGTAGTTCTTTGAATTATTTTAAAACTTTGTTGTATAGGTATATGAATGTTAAATGCAATATTTAAAGCTTGACTGAAAAATATTTCTTTTCATTCTCAAGTTCTAGGTATAAGAGAGTATTACATATTCCACTTTCTATATTGAAACACAAAACCAATTGAAGAGTAGCCAAATCATTTTAGTATTACAAAATAACAATGATATATTAACAACTTATCTATAAATGAGCAAACTTTAATTTATTATCAGGTACATAAGCTGCTGATTAAAATCTATGGTGCACGTAAACACTGCCATTAATACCAAAACTTTTTCAATGCACATGCATGATTTAGGTTTTCACAAATTTAATTGTCTATTAACAAAAGAATAAAATAATTATTCTGATAAATCATGACATTAAAAATTCCTACCTGATTGAGGCTCGAACGGAAGACTCTCAATCATTCAAGTGTTTTGAGATCAATTCTCTACCAACTAAGCTACATGTACTCGAACTCAAATCCTAAACAGGTAAACCTCAACTTGATAGTTACAATAAGCCTTTACTTATAGAAGACACAGAACCTATAACACTAGTTGGCATCCTTCAGCCACCAATACACAGTACAGTATCCTCTTAGCCATCAACAATCAACCCTCACACATTATACTCTCAGCCATCAACATACAGCACGGTGTAGCGTCCTCTAGCCATTTGGACTTGATTACATAATACTCTTACGAGTAACAGTTGAAATGAGGGTTATCTGGGACTTGAATTTTGATACTCAATAAAGCATCGGTCTCAAACCATTGTCACAAGCTGAAGGTATCTGTTTCAAGTCTCTGTTAGGAAAGATTATATAATATCTCGATCACATATATTATTGGATAATATGGAGCCATTTGAGTGAAATAAAAGGTGAATCAAACCATCTGTGTACATATACCTGGGCCACTGACTGGCTTGATATAGTGTTGTAACAGCTAGGATGAGCGTTACAATGCTTAGGTTTTGGATTCTGGTAGCACAGTTTGTACAGACTTACTCTCAGAACACTATTGTGAGGCAAAGATCACTGGTTCAAGCCTCAATTAGGGCAGATTTCTTAATATCTTAATCCATTGTATTGATTCCCAACTACAAACATACAAAAAATAAGTGACAGCAGGCCATTCAACTGACTAAAAGCACCCAACAAAAAAAAAACTGCTAACCTAAACATAATCAGCAGACATTCATAAAATGATTCAGCAAAAAACATATAGAAATTCAAACTTCCAAGACATTACTCTGGCAAACCATTCTGTAAGTTTACATTTCTGATGTGGTAAAAATAACCAGCCTGGATATAAGCATCTATGATTTATACTTATTTCCTCTAATAGTTTGGGTTTTATCTTGGACTCTATACAATGAACACTCACACAAAGCCTCCTAACAATTTTAAATATGCAAACCGGGTCATTTCTAGTTATTATACACTTATGACAAAACAAATTAAAATTTTTAGTCTCTCTGAAGCCAATAGTTCTAAACCAGGAATCACTTTGGTAGCCCTTCTAAAGCCACTGACATATGCCTATTAATGTGACTGAACAATGAAAGAACTTTCTGAACATTCCAGCACCTCACACTTAAGTATCAACAGTCAATGACCCTTTAGACCAGTGGTTCTTAACCTTTTCTGCTCCATGCCCCACCGTGCCACCTCGAAAAATTTGATGCCCCCTTAATATAAAAACAAATTTGGTGATGAAAAGGTATAATAATATAATGTAAAATTTAGTTTTGAGTCACGGAACGTTTTTCGCTCTTC